CCTCCTGCTGCTGCTGCTGCTGCTGCAGTGGCGGCAGCTGCTCTGCAACTTTTTCAGAATCAGCTACACTATTGTCTTCAAGCAGAAACAGAAGAGGGTGTGCAGATTATATTTGATGAAATAATTAAAAAAGTGACATATAATTATTCTTAAAAAGGTACAAAGACACATTATGTTTATACTGTGGTTCCTCTGGGAAGAGAACCCAGGACTCTCTCCTTCAGAGGCAGGCGTGCTAACCACTACACTATGGAACCACATATTGCAGCAGAGGTAAAATGTCTGCTGACTGTTATGCAGCTGACTGTTTTCATGACAAAGCGGTTTATTTCCATTAATTCAGAAGAGGCCTTGTTGGCCACAGTGCACACCAAATCCTATTGACCGCTTGTAGCAGAATGCGACCACATGCACGACCAAGTCTAAGCCGGCCGTCGCCTGACAACATGCGCGCCACACCATGGTGCATTCAGGGGACCCAGCTAAAGGCAGTAAACAGCAGAACACACTGCAGTCATTTCAAGAACAATATTGGCAATAACACACAACATTACTACACGGCCCACCTCGCTACAATATTATTTATATTTTTTCACTTTGTTTTAAGTCATTTTCTGTCACTTTAACCTTTAATAAAGCAAATTCTCAAAAAGTAAATAATTGTTTTCAATAATCATGATTTCAATATGAATCAAAATGATTATGACATTAAGAAATGTTCATGTGTCAAGGACAAGAAAACCCCCAAACCAGCAGCAGTACCTAGCTTGATCTGAGCCTTCAGACGGCTGACTGGTTTATTAGTGTAGGTAGGTTGGAACAAAACCCTGCAGCCACAGGGGCCCTTCGTGGAACAGTTTTCCTGCACTCCACACAACTTCATGTTGTCATAGCTGAGTATACCCTAGCTACCGCTTTGTTTCATCTGGTTGACATACAGGGGTAAAATACAGCACACTTTCATCAATTTCTGGTTCATCAAAATTTAATAAATCTGACACCGACTGTTGAGCAACAGGGGAGTTGCAACTTAAGGTTGTGATTCCCTTAAAATATATCCTTCTGAATACTGCAGGAATTTTTCCAGCTGTGAATAAACTTCCTTGACACTCCGTTGACTCCCTACTAAAATTCCATAGTAGGAATTTTTGCTGAATATCAACAACTCAGAGTCAGTAACTTGACTTTGATGAGTTGTTAAGGTGGCTATGTTTAATATGTATATTAACTTTTTATGCTGAAATATTTTTTAGACTGATGATTTCTTAGATATATTTATTTTTAATTATTCTAAATATAGTGGCGCTTTGGCCCAGAGGCGGATATATTTATTTTTAATTATTCAAAATATGTCATTTACACCACTCCCCATTTGGGATTTTGCATAAACACTACTAATTGCTCTACAACAGAAAGTGAAAACACTTGAGACCGGAGGGTGCGTTCAAATATCATTTACACCACTCCCCATTTGGGATTTTGCATAAACACTACCAATTGCTCTACAACAGAAAGTGAAAACACTTGAGACCGGAGGGTGCGTTCAACAGTTCTTAGATCACTTTTATGCTACTTGCACTCACCATGATCACCATGATCCCGCACCAACATTTCTCCATCCTTATAAAGAGAGAGCAGAAAAGTAGATGAGACTTTATCAAGAAGAATGTCGTTCTGTAGCACTACGAAAGTACAGTGGAGCTTCCAGATATGAAATACCCAATCCAACTCTAGATATTTACTCACTAACTTTTTAAGCTGACCAGGTAGTAACCACATAAACAAGAAGTTATTGGAGGTTGAAGAACCTAGGCTTATCTGACCTCTGCTTCTAGCTCCATTTTTGGCAGAATCATGATTGGCAGAAACATCTTACCGTGGTGTCAGCCGAGTGGTTGATAGTGTGATTCCCTCCTCGTCTCAGGGGGGCCGATGACTCACCACACAGCACACCAGTGGGCTTTCCGCCTTGAATTATGAACAGACAAGGCTGTTTGTACTGGGGTCAAGACGGGTGACAGACATTTCTGGGGTAGCTGTATATTAGAATGCTAATGTCTTGGCGGAGAGTGACCAGTGGCAGTGAACTCTGACGTGTCAACCACCAAAATCCCACACCAATCACGTAATGACAGGATCAAAATTAGCAGACAACAACAGGCTAATGTCACAGGAATTTCCCTTCCATTATGACATTTAAAATGATCGTCAAACCTATTGTCATGCAATACAAAGTACAACACAAAACAAGAGGCTCAAAAGCATTAACAGTGACGACAGTTGTAGTCAGCTGACATGCAAGTGCATGACCTCGATTATACAGGACTTGTTCAACAACTTATTCCTACACACACGATTCTAGGGGTGTTTTATACAAGAAACCTGCCTTGTATGAAACTCTATATCAGTCACGTCATGTGATTTAACTCCTGTCTTTTTTAACAAATAATAAAACCACATTCTTGGAGTTGGTAAGTTTCTTGGTTAGTACCATAAACAAATGGTTGTGACTGTTGTGCTTCGATTTGCTCGTAAAACACAACAAATCCAACAAATTCTCTATTAAAACAAGTTTTAATAAGAGAAGTTGTACTGTGAGCTGCAAATACTACAGTACAGTTTCAAATATGAAGGATGTATCAGATACCTGGTGGGTTATTCCTCCGATTAGCATAGGGGTCCTCAGGCTCAGCAAAAACACTAGAGGCCATCTTGTCTTTCCGGACAGGTTTTTCCTCATCTGCACCAAATGTAATGTTGGAAGCACCACCAGGGGGACGCAACACCCTGAAAAGAGAAAGAAGGTCAAGCACCGTGTCAGACTGATGGTTTCCTTTTCTGGTGGTGACAATTAAATCTGAATTAACAACAACAACACATCAATTTGAGTGTCCAGAAATGTACATAGGACAAGTCATTCACACCACAGTCACACCATGTTTACCATCTGATTATATTCCACAAAACCATGCACTAGCTAGAACCATATATTTGAAATACCTGACCACACACACACACACACACACACACACACACAAAAACAGGTAGAACAACCAGTTTTTTACTAAGCTCATTCATGGATGAATTGTACTGACACATGCTTTCAAAAGGCTTCCTTATCTACATCTGCTTCAACAATAGACAATCTGCTACATGTGGGGTTGTAAACCTCAGTCTGCCATTCTGTTCCTGCTCATCAACATAAAGCCACTCCACAGACACAGCACTTACTGTATGCCAGGTGACATGAGTTACTGATGAACTCATAAAGACAGAGTGGACTGTTTAACTAGTTGTTATAAACGAAACCAAAATAACGTAATAATCCACAATGACATTTATGATTTAGTCACAGCTTTCTTTTCAGCAAAAGAAGAAAACATTACTACAGATTTTTTTCTTTAATAGGGGTAACTGGAATCCACAGATTTGAGCTGTAATATTAATCCAATGGTAGTCACACTATGACCAGAGAAGACACTCAGTCCCTGAGAATTACAATTTGGTTAAGAGTATATGCAAAAATCAGCATACAGCCTTTTATTATTATTATTATTATTATTTCACTTTATATTTTGAACTGCAACCAACTCACAACAAGTTTTTTGTTAATATTCTATCTGCTCCAAAGCAACTGCATCTCGAGTCATAATGGGGTTTTGCCAGGTGTGGCTCCTCTCTGTTGAAGGCCCTCAGGAATACACATGCAGCACAGAGGATGTAGCCTCATCTTTGACCATATAAGGAACTTCTTTAAAAGCTAAGGATGCGACATGTGTTCCCTCTAATACACTGGAAACTAGATGAGGAGAATATAAAGGATCGTCCATATTGGACAAGTCCGGTTAGCCAGACACAATCTCTACAAAGGGATGCTTGGTGCGTGGATGCTGTTAGCTTACTGGCTACATGGTACATGACAAAAACGTGAACGTGCGGCCGAGACTTTTCTTCTAGCAGAAATATATGTTCAACAAAACTATAAATAAACAATACCCAAAATACATTGAAAGATACAACCGCATGTTGAAACCTTTGACAAACTGAGATTATGGTGAGAGGATGCTGACAGATGGTGGCTAACGGTTAATGAATGCAGCGACGCCTTTTACCTGGAACTGCTTTTAGCGCCGGGCTCTATCCCCTGAAATGTCTTGGTTGTCGTCATTTTGGCACTATAAGTGGTTTAATGTTAATTCATTTGACAGGTCAAACGCAAACTAGTCTTTCATTAGCAGCAATTCACCACCTTGTCATTGTCTCCACAAGCCGGTGCTTCTCAATTATCAACCTGCCTCTAACTGGCAATAGCATCACAGGCAGCTATGCAACAGACATGTGACTTCCGGCATAAATTTCAAAATAAAAGATACGTTTCCTTAGTATATGCAATGCTGACGTGGTAATACTTTTTTTAACTTTAAGAATTGGATGTCAAACGAATATATCCGTAAAATGAGTCCTGATTCCTTATTTGTTTTAAAATGACACGTCACAACAACCTTTTACTTTAGTGTCGTTCAGTTTTTGTTTTTCATACTGTTTGAAAAAAATTGTAGGGGCACAAAACTTCATATTTCTCTTTATGATTCTTATAAATGAAGTCATATCAAGCTGCTTGAAGGATACATTTGGTCTTTAAAATTATTTTAATATAATAAAAATACATTTTGTGAGTTTATTTTGGATGACAGAGCCCATGTTAAAGTGTATTAATGGTTTGTCCATTGATATCACCACTCAAGAAATAATCATTTTTTTCAGT